GACATCTTTATTAAGTTGTGTCTTCTAACCCATAAACATATTATGTCTCTTTATCTATTTAGGTCTTCTTTGATTTATTAGAATTTTCTACATTCTGATCCTTAATGTGTTTTATTAAGCATATACAAAATATTTCATTTTTAAAAGTGACATATAAATAATTTTGCATTTTTAATTTTGGTTTTCACATGTCCTGTGTTACTATATAAAAACATCCTTTTACTTTCGACCTATCTATATCATTGAATGTAAAGTGAGTTTCTTCTTACTTCAAACACCATATATCTAACTTGTGTTTCTTTTTGTTTTTTTTATTCGCTATGCCAATCTACCTTTTTAATTGGTTTATTTACACAATTTACATTTAGGTAATTGTTTGTGTGAGGTTAAGTATGCAATTTTATTATTTATTTTCTGGTTTCCTGTTTCTATTTTTTCACCTTTCTGAGGGTTACTGGAACTTTTTTTTTTTTTAGGATTCCTTATTAATTTACTTTTAGTGTGTTTGAATGTGTCTTTTTGTATAAAAAGTTGTTCTGGATATTACAATTTGCATGTGTGACTTACCACACTCCATTGGTATCAACATTTTACCACTTTGTGTGAAGTATGGAAACCCTGCTTCTATTTTGGGCTCTTTGCCTTCCCCATTTTTCCCTCTTTTTATTGAATTTATGGGGGGTAACACTGGTTAACAAAATTATACAGGTTTCAGGTGCCTAATTCTACAACACATCATCAGCACACTGTATTGTGTGTTCACCACTCCAAGTCTCCATTTATCCCACCTGTACCCGCCCCAACCTCCCCTCACCCCTCCTGCCGACAGTCATGACACTACTGTCTACATGTCCATGAGTTTTTTCTCCTTTTTTTTTTTTTTTGGCTTAACCCTCCCACCCCCACCCCTGACCCCTTATATCATATGGTTCTTGTCTTTCTCTGACTGGCTTATTTCATTTAGCATACTCTCTCAAGGTCCCTCCATGTTGTTGCAAAGGGTAAAGTTTCCTTTTTTGTTATGGCCAAGTAGTATTCCACTGTGTAAATGTACCTTAGCTATTTTATCCACTTATCTACTGATTGGACACTTGGGCTGCTTCCAAATATTGGCTATTGTAAATAATGCTGCAATGAACATGGTGGTGCACATATTCTTTCAAATCAGTATTTTGGGTTTGTTCAGATAAATTCCCAGAAGTGGAATATTTTAATATTATTGCCTTGACTATCAGGTGTTATAATATTTTGTTTCAGCCATCAAATATGATTGTAGAAACTCATGGAAAGATAGTCTATCATATTTACTCTATTTTGACATATTCTGATATTCTATTCTTTTCTGAAATTCTGAGTTGTCCTATATTATCTTTTCCTTTCTATTTAAAAAAAAACCCAATAAACCTCCTTTTGCCATTCATTAGGGTAGGTTCATTTGCAACAAATTCTCTTAGCTCATCTGGACATGTCACCATTTCCTCATTGTTCTTGAAGGACCATTTTCTTGAATATAAAATTTAGAGTCAACAGTGTTTTTCTTTCAGGACTGTAAAAATGTCATGCCATTTCCTCTGGCATCTATGATTTCAAATGAGATATCTGTTGTCATCAGAATTAGTGTTCCTCGGTAAGTAATAATGTTGCTTTTTCCCTAGCTGCCTTTGAAAGGTTTTGTTTATGTGTTTAGTTTTCAGAATTCGATTATAGTAGTTTCTCCTTATTTGTGGTATCACTTTCTAAGGTTTCATTTACCCATCGTCAACCACTATTGAAAAATATTAAATGAAAAACTCCACAAATAAACTACTCATAAGTTTTAAATTGTATGCTGCTCTGAGTAACATCATGAAATCTCCCACCACCCTACTCTATCCCACCTGGGATGTGAAACATCACTTTGTCTATCATATCCATTCTACTCACCCATTAATTATTTAATACCTATCTCGGTTATCAGCTTGACTGTTGCAGTATTGCAGGGTTTGTGTTTAAGTAACACTTATTTTACTTAATAAAGGGCCTAAAACACAAAAGTGGAGATGCTGCCAATTAGAGTATGTCAAAGAGAAGCTGTAAAGTGCTTTCTTTAAGTAAAAAGGTAAAAGTTCTCCAATTAATAATGAAAAAAAATCATATGCTGAGGTTGCTAAGATCTACAGTAAGAACAAATCTTCTATCTGTGAAATTGCCTAATTTATAAATTATAAACGTAAGTATGTGTGTATAGAAAAAGCATAGTATATATAGGGTTTGGTAATGTTTTCAGTTTTAGGAATCCACTGGGGGGTCTTGGAATGCATCCCACACAAACAAAATGAGGCTACTATATATGTCTTGGTATAGATTTCCCTGGAATTATCCTGGTAGAGTTTACGCAGCTTCTTGAAACTGTAGGTAGTGCCTTTCACCAGATTTGGGAAGTTTTCAGTCATTGTATTTTCCAGTACTCAGGCCCACTCTCTTTCTCCTCTCCTTCTGGGATTCTAATGATACAAATACAGGAATGTCACACATGTCTTTGATACTGTTCATTCCCCACCTGACCCCACCCCCATCAATTGTGCCTCTGCTGTTTACAATGAGTAAATTTTATTGCTTTATTCTCAGTTTACTGATTCTGTCTTCTGTCATCTCCATTCTACTATTGATTTGGATCCATTTAGGAAGTTCTATTGTTGTATTTTTTTAAAGATTTTATTATTTTTAGAGAGAGGGGAAGAGAGGGAGAAAGAGAGGGAGAGAAACATCAATGTGTGGTTGCCTCTAGCATGTCCCCCCTGGGGACCTGGCCTGCAACCCAGGCATGTGCCCTGACAGGGAATCGAACTGGTGACTGCTTGGTTCACAGGCCAGCACCAAATCCACTGAGCTACACCAGCCAGGGCTATTATTGTACTTTTCAGTCCTACAATTTTTATTTAAATCCTTTTTATACATTTTATTTGTTAAACTTTTTATTTTTTATTTGCTTCAAAAAAATTCTAAGTGCTTGTTGAAGTATTCTTACAATGGCTACTTTAAAATCCTTCTCAGATTGTTCCAGAGGTGATTCATCTCTGTTAGTTTGAATTAATTGTCTTTCTCCCTGATGTATCTCTAAACTGTAGATCCTAACTAGCTAGTGTTTACTCCAAGCCTATTTCTTTGAATCTTCTGGCCCAGTGTAGTGCTGGTTCCTTGAGATAGGTCTCTTCTCAAGGTAAAATATTTTATACTAGTTTTTGAAGGATAATACTTATTTTGGGTGCAAAAGCTATGGCTTCATATTTATATCATTCCTTGTGAATTCTGTTTAATAATCTTTTAATTTGATCTCTCTGGCATTTAAAGGGTTTAACCTTGGGGTATATATTTTTCCACTCCAGCTGTTCATGTGTGTGTGTGTCCTACTTCCAAAAGCACCTCCTTTCATCTTCCACATTAGTGTTTTCAGAGGTATCTTTTCTAGTCTTGCTCATTCCTAAAAACTTTACAGTTGCTTTAATTTCAATAATCAAAGAGAATTTTGTGGTTTAGGAGGAATGGGTAATAATTGCATTATTGCTTGAACATCATACCCTACCTCCCCCCTGCCCCAAATCCTTCTGCCCCCCCCCCAACTTATTTCTCCCTGAACTAGCTATATTTTCCAGACTGAAATCTGGATGAAATAAAGAGGTCATGACTTCTTCCAAAAAGCTATGATTAAAATGCTTAAAGACTACAGGATTACGTGTATATAGACTTTGGCATTACTATATCAAGGTTGATAGCTTTCATTTATAGATTACTTGTTGCATTAAGTATGCTTTCTAATAGTGCTTCAGGCAATAGTTCCTTGAATCCTCCTCACAATTCTTTGTCATAGGCATTGCCTTCGATAGAAAATAATTTCTCAAGATCCCACGACTTAAAGGCACATTAAGGCATATTCAAAAGAAAGAAATGGGAAACAACACGCAAACATTCTAAACCTAGGCGGTGGTGGTTGATGTTTTCTTTAAAGCATGTGTCCTTGATCTCTACCCAACATAGATGTGTCTTTGGGTAAGGAAAAAAACTATGAAAAAAGTTTCTGCTATGAGTAAGAAATAGAGCACCAGCTTAATGACAGAAAGATAATACCAGTAAAAGATTTGGAGTTAGAAGAACTAGGTTTGGGTCTAGGTCCATCATTACAAACTCTGAAACCTTGAACAAGTAATTTTACTGCTGCATTAGGTTTGTTTGTTTGTTTGTTTGTAACAAGTTACCACAAACTCCATGGCTTAAAACCACACACCCAAACTACATAACCCATAGTTCTGTAGAACAAAAGTCTACGAGCTTGACTGGGTTCTCTGATCAATCGAGACAAAAATCAAGGTGTTGGTTAGTCTGTGGTATCACACAAATTTTCTTGAGCAGAATCTGCTTTCAAGTTCATTCAGGTTGTTGACGAAATCCAGTTGCTACCAGTTGTAGGTTTGTTCCCTGTTTTCTGGCTGGCTGTCTGCCAGAAGCCACTCTTGCCACCTAGAGGCTGCACATATTCTTGCCCTGAATTTTTTTTTTTTTTTTTTTTTTTTTTGGTTAAGGTTTTTGTGATGACAAAACGAGACATTGTACAAAGAGTAATGATGAATGTAATAGCTGCTTACTGTCGCTGGGTTTAGAGGGTACCCCTCAACCCTCCTGTATAGAACCTGTCCAAATCGCAGGAAATCCGACCGGAAGGAAGTTTCTGCGGTCATTTAAAACAGAAGTCTTAATTGGCTAAGCCCACAGGAGCCACTGCCTGTGAATCCAGAATCAGCCCCTCTTACTCCGCCCAGCCTTGGGCTGTGGGTACAGGCACTCTCAGGGGTGGGGGACGCCGGGTGGACGGCAGGAGGAGGGGTGGGGATGCATCTGTGCTAGGCTATCCCTGCAAAGCCGGTCCCCCCCTCTGTGTACCATGCAAATGGAGTCTCCCAGCCTGCGCCCCCTGGTTCCAGTTCTCTGGTCGGAGTCCAGCAGTTGGAACATTTCTCTCCGAACCTCGGAGCGCTCGAGTCGTACCTCCCTGCGCTCCCGTTGCCGCTTCAGGTAAGCGATTAGTGCCGCATCCGCAGGTACCGCCAATGTCGCCTGGGCAAAGAGCGAATATGCCCTCCAGCACCCTCGGTTCTCGCTTCGCAGAGCGGTCAAAGCCATCTTCTGCCTTTTGCGGGCGCTCAACCACTAGGGGTAGCGGGCGAACCAGCCGGGGTTGTTGCGGGCGGGAACTGGCAGGCGTGTTGTCCGTGAAGCGAGTACCCTCCCTGGATGACACCGAGACAGTTGCTGCGGGCGGTGGGTATCTATTGGTGCCACGAACCGAGCTTCCTGGCTCGTATGTGTTCCCTGGGTGCCGCTCAACGTCCCCATGACTATACCCTGGATCGCGGCGTCCGCGGCGGCGAACCCTTGCCCGCGGTGACCGAAAGGTGTCACAGAGGCTGATAATTTTTAATACTTGAGGAAAAAGCAAAACAAGGGCTTATTCAGAGAGGGAAGGTTTGGTTAGCATCTCTTGGATGTGTGCGTTTTAAGGGCTGGCAAGCTGTCCGTTTGAACAGCTTCTCGTTCTGCAGTTGGAGTCTGGAGTAGTGTGTTGTGTAAGAAAAGAACGGGTGTGTAGCCCCCGGGTGAGGCATCCTCGCTGCAGGTGCCCAGCGAGCCTCCCAGCCTGTACCTGATTTTGTCGGTGCTCGGGGTGGACAGTGAGCCAGGCTTTCGCTCAGGAGGGAGCGTGTCGGGTTGGGGAGCGAGTGGTGAGATCCTCCCCACGTCCCCAGGGAGAAGCTGTCTGGGCGGGCGCCGCGACCACATTCCAGGCTAGAAGTCATCTCTCACTCTCCCTTTCTTCCTCCCTAGGCTTCACCCACTGCTCACTCAGTGCCTGAGAAGTTGTGCACGCATCTTCGTGCCAATTCCCCACAATGGGCAACTCCTGCTTTGGCCTCAAGGAAAAGCTGATGCAGCGGCTGCGACCTCTGCCCACCCTGCTGATCATTCGCGCCGTTATGCCCCAGAAGAAAAACAAAGATTTCTGCGTGGTGATCCTCGGCTCTGCGGGTGTGGGCAAGAGCGCACTGGTGAAGAGATGGGTGCGCGGCAACTTTCGTGAAAAGTATGTGCCAACTATGGAAGATACCTACCACCAGGTGCCAGGCAACAACCGTGGCATGGGCACGCTGCATATTACCGACACGGCGGGCGGTCACCGCTACCCCGGCTTGCAGCGTCTCGCCATTGCCAGGGGCCACGCCTTCGTCCTGGTCTACTCTGTCACCAAGAAGCAAACCCTGGAGGAGCTGAAGCCCTTCTATGAGCTGATCCGCGAGATCAAAGGTAGAAACCTGCGTAAGTACCCTATCGTGCTGGTGGGCAACAAATGCGATGACAGCCGCCGCCGGGAGCTGACCGCGAAGGATGGCGCTGCCTACGCATTGGAGTGGAATTGCGCCTTCATGGAGACCTCCGCCAAGACGGATGTCAACGTGCAGGAGCTGTTTCACATGCTGCTGAACCACGCGAAGAAGCCTGCCGCCAGCGTCCAGCCTACCCAGAAGAAATCCCAGATGCCCAAGATCGCCGAGAAGCTGCTGGGCAAGTGCATCATCATGTGAGCCCTGGATCTTAGGAGCCCGACCTCCTCCGACAGCGTGTAGAGAACATGGACCAATGCCAGTGTAACGTGTCACCTGTATATGATTGACTTTTGTGCTGTGGTTTGGGTTGTAACAGCTAGATATCAAAAAATGTCCCTTGTAAGTTAATACGTTTACTTTTTCCTAGGCAAGAGAATTCATATTGTTACAATATTGATGTTAGAGGAGGGGGAAAAAAGAGTAAGTCTTGATAGACTTCAGAAATTAATGTTTGAAAAAGAAAATGAAATAGCAAACTGAGTTGAAAGATGCCACTGCCCTTCTTATAACTCTACTACCGTGTATTATTTTTAAACATGTCAAGCCCTGTAAGTGTCCAACCAAACCTTTCCATTATGTACTCAATTGTTAAAAAATGTGTTTTTGCAATAAAAGCTTTGCTAGATGACTGTGAGATAGATATACTAAACAAGATAAATAATTGAATATTCTTTAGTTGAGCATTGAGGGTGGGGGCAGAGAAAATTATGAAAGTGGAACTTGCTTCCTAAAGATGTGCCAGTTTCCTAAGTCATTTAAAAGTGTTTGGATATTCCCCGTAGCAGTTTTTAAAAAGTATGGCAGTTCCGTGACTTAATAAAGCTTTTCCTGCATGCAATCGGCTGTCATAATTTTTTTCACCACTGGACAACAACAAAAAATGACAGATGGCATTAAAATTTCAACCACATCTGGCGAAGGTTTTTCATAAGAATTTCACACATGGGTGCCCTTGCCCTCTTGAAATTAGCTTTTGTAGGGAGGGGGTGGTAAGGGGACAGGGCAGTGCAGACCTGGTTTGTATCCATCATCTTTTCTGGACTGACATCCAGAAGAACTCCAGGGGTCTCTGAAGAGGAGGTTTGCTGTTGCCATCTTGGAGGTACCGGCAAAAAGCAAACCTCAGTCTCTGGCTGCTTCAAAAGTCTCCCCTTAAGAAATACTGGATATGTGCAGATGGAAGGTAAGGGAAGAAATGACTAGGATTTGAAATTTGAGAAACTCTTCCTTAAGGCAAGTTTTTAAAAAGATTAATTTTATATTTGAACATAAGTTTTGAGAGAGCAAACTACGTAACTATACACGTTCTTACTTCTGAATGTTTTTTTTTCAGTTGGGGAAGGAGAGAGAAGGCTCTCAATCTGGTGATTTTTTTCCCATAAAGTATTGAACAAATATTGAACAATTTATGCGCTTTAAAAATGGTTTCATGTAGCTTGATTTTCAGGGAACATGAACACTGTTCAGAAGGAACCATAAACATCTATTTCATAATAGTACAAAGTTGTGAGTTTAGAAAATCCATTCAGTGGCTCATTTTAAACAGTCAATTATTTAAGATTTTTCCTTTTTCACTTTCAAAGCAATTATCCTCAACCACTAGAAAATACCTAAGTGGTTTTACCATATTGCTTTTTATGTATTCTATTTTAAAAAATAGTTCTCAGCTAAAGTTCCTAGTGGAGTTATTTCATTTCCAAGAGAAAAATACTCTATATCGGCTACTTTCCAGGAGAACTCTCCTTGAAAAAAATGTGTTGCATTAGCTTAGAAAATCCACTCAGTCATTCATTTTAAATAGTCAATTATTTAATATTTTTCTTTTTCATTTTCAAAGCAATTATCCTCAACCACTAGAAAATACCTAAGCGGTCATACCATATGCTTTTTATGTTCTCTATTTTAAAAAATAGTTCTTTAAGCTAAAGCTTCTAGTGGAGTTACTCCATTTCTAAAAGAAAAATACTCTACCTTGGCTACTTTCCAGGAGAATTCTCCTTGAAAAATGCATTGCATTCATTGTTGCTTCTTGTAGATGAGCAAGGGATTACTAACTTGCAAATACTACCCTTTAGAAAAGGGGAAATGTGTTTTTTAATGTTGCAGTAATACACAGTAAAAAATATTTTAAGCACATATTTATATAGTCTATTTACATGCCAGTGTTTCTATATTACAGTGGAGCAAATATTTATCAAGTCTTTCTACATGTCAATGTTCTACATTATATCATGTAATCTTCACAACAGTTCGATGAAGTGGATATTGTTTTGCCCACGTTGCAGATGGAAACACTCATAAAGGTCACAAAACCAGTAAGCGGCAGGGCCAATTTTTGGAGCCAGGTGCTCTGCTCCAGAGTCAGTGCTCTTAACTACGATGGTGTACTTTCTCTCTACGATGGTGAATCAAAAGATAAATAGCTGACTTTTCTGTTCCCTATATTATACTCCTTACAGAATCCAAATTGGAGGTTAGGAAGCAAATCAACAATTACAACATGCATGGGAGAAGTGGTGTTAGAAACAGGGAAGAGAAGCCCTTTACGAGGGGCATTGGAGAACATTTCCCCCAAGAGATCGCATGGCTGGAATCTTTTATACCTAGTAGGAGCTGATTTAAGTAGGGTTGGTGTGGGTGAGGGAAGGAGAGGATAACATTTTTAGGGAAACGGAGCAGTGTGAAAAAAAGGTCTGGAGCAAGTGTGAAGTCTGAGAGATCACAGCATGTTTCCAGAAATGGACAGAGCAAACTGTGCAAGACGAGCCTGCAAAGTTTTGAATAGGTAATGGGAAGTTACTAAAGAATGGAAGCAGATTTGATCCTATTTGAATTAAGAAGAAATCACTCTGGAACATCGATAAGAGGTACTGAAAAGAGGCGGGTAGACAAATTTTAAAACTATTAGAATAGTTGAGGAAAACGATTTTGCGTAAATGCTCTAAACATTACCATAAGGAATGGAAACAAAGGGATGGATCTGAGAACTATGTAATAGGAAAATGGCCAGAGCTTGGCAATGTGTTGGAGTTTGGTAAAGAGGAAGAAACCAAAAGAAATGACACACTTCTGAGTGGGATTCCTGAGTAGGCTAGGAGGTCGTTAACCAAGTTCAGTAAGGCAGAGGAAGAGCCAATTTGGAGAAACATCTATTGGCTTATGTACATGAGGATAGTAAGTTACATTTTGGGTAATATTTGCCAGGATAGCCAGGTGGAAGTTTCCAATGGGAACTAGACTGAACATAGGGAGTGGAGATGAAGATTTGCAGGTTTTCAGTATGTAGCTGGCGGTAAGACTGTGGAGGGGGAAAAGAGGACGCAAGACGAAAGGACTTAGCTAGGATGGAGTCCTGTGGAGCACAAGCACTTAGAAAGATATCTACCCAGAGAACACTCTGAACGGACACTTAGAAGTGACCAGAAGATAGGAGGACACTCATGATGTGCCGTAATAAATGCTAAGGAAGAAATGAGTTTCAAGGAAAAGTATGTATGCTGTCATAGAAAAAAAAATTTCAACAAATAAGATGAGTATTATACAGTGTTGCTTAGATTTAGTACTTGGGAGATTTCTGGTTCTTGCCAAGACAGAGAAGCCCCATTCCTCCCATGTATTCCTCTTACAACTGGAATAACCCTGGACATAACACAGAAAACGAGGTAAGGAAAATGCTTAACAGTGGCAAGAAGTGGAGTGCCTGGGAACCTCAGGACACGAGGAAGGACATGACGGTGATTTCCCCGAGTCTCCTTGTCTCTCATGCATCCTGGACAGGACTCTGCAGGGACCTCAGGTTAGAACTGCCAACAGGCACAGACAAAAAAAGTGCCAAAAAAGCATACTTCTCCTAACTAAATAACCAGGAAAAGGGGGGTTAATAACAGAAAACTTTTTTTTTTTGGCAATATGCATCTTACTCTAGACAAAAAATCAACAGCAAAACCTCTGTTCTTCTTCCTCCCCCCAGAGCGAGCTGGTCTTCCACCCCACTGCACCCTGCCCCATGGAAGCAGATGACAGTGTTCTGATGCCCCCGCCTGGTGTCGGACAACAGGCCAGAACGGAGAACTAACCCATCCCAGAGTGGCAATTCCCTCCACCCTTTCACCATTGACGGGGTGATGTCAGTGGGGCTGGGCAGGGAGGTGATGTTCTCAGTCCCCTTCCACTGTGTGTGTCCTCAGGTCTTGGCAGGGAGCTGAGCTTCCATGTCCACCTGTCAGCAGTGAGACTCCATGAGACAGTGAGAAGCAGAGCAAGGCAGCTCTCCGGTTCTCCCTCATTGTGTGCCCACTCCCACCTCTATGGCTCTCAGCTTACCTGACTATAATACAAAAGGCTGGGACCAGGTGATCTCTTAGGTCTCTCCCCACAAAATCACAAGTGAGAGAGAAACTTTACATTATTACTGCTTGGATGGAAGCAGAGAGGCTATAAACCATTCTAACCATTCTTTGAGTAAATAGTGTTACTCAAAGGAGCTGGAGCCTACAGTTTTTATTTTTGCACTGTCCAATATAGTAGCCTCCAGCCTTATGTTATCTCTGCACTCGGAATGTGGCTAGTCCAAAGTGAGATGTATTGCATTACATATAGAAATTATAATATTTTAGATACAGTGGGTTAAATAAAATATATTTAAATAATCTGTGTTTCTTTTTACCTTTTAAAATGTGGCTAGCAGAAATTTAAGATTTTACTTGTGGCTTATTTTTGTGGCTCACATTATATTCCTTTTGGACAGTGCTGATCTGTATTAAGAGAGGCTGTCAGAACTAATTTCTAATTTGAATTTGATTACTTACATTAGCCAGGATAAACAATCCAGTGCTGAAAAAAATGTCGGCATGTATTTAAAATAATGTGTTGTCAGATGTCTAAGTAACCTCGCAAAATTCAAGATTAACAGCGATGTAACAAAATCCACTGAGAGGTATGTTTGCATATAAATGAATTTGAATATTGCATCTATAAGCTACATCTATAAACCTGGGTCCACAGGCCCAGAGCTTGGAAAAATAAATATGTCAGACAATGAATTCAGGGAGTTGGTAAAGATTAAAATAAATGAAAAAACTAAAAATATGCCCCCTGAACTGATATGATGTTTTCTCAGGCTACTGATACTGACAAACCTGCCTTCTATTTGACATTGTAAAGTGAAAAAATGGAGAAAAGAAAACTGATATGGCGATAAATACAGTTTTGTAAAATGAAATTCAATAGATTTAACTATTTGACACCAGTATTGTGATTTTATACAGGTATGTTCATCTGTCTTGCACTTCAGGTTTATAGATGTGGTCTGGAAGAGACCTCACAAACTCAGACTAGTATTAGAATCCTTCATGTTCCGCCTCCAAATTTCCTTCCCAATCTGTGAGCACATCACATCATGCATTCTTTCCCTAACCATCCTGGACAATTTGCTCTTCCCTCTAACATCCTATGTAGTCATTCCTTAACTGTCCTCACACAAGGCACTCTTCCTTCCATTTTTTTGCCTATTAAAATTATATTCACCCTTTAAAATCCAGCCCAAATACCAAATATCACATCCATTGTAGGTTTCCCTACAGTAATTATTCACAAATGTTTTATTCAACAGTCAACAATACATTGGCCCTGTGGCAGACAAGGAAGAAAATTAAAAAGCATGGCGGAATGGGATGGGTGCTCTGAGATGGGTCCATTCTCCACTCTGTTATTGTACTGATCTTTCAGAAACACAGTTTGGTTAGACTGCTGCTCTCAGAGCCGTTACGTGCCAGATATTTGAACAAACATGCACAGCT